AGACGATAGAAAGAACCAAAATGTGAGCGAGAACGTCCTCTTTTATAGAGTCGCGCATGAAGGGCGTCCTATTGCACTTTCCACGTGGCTTCAAATGCCCCGCTGACGTAAGTTTGCTGCGCATTGAAACGCGCGATTAGTTTGTGCGCTTCGCATTTGGATTCCAGGATCCTCATTGCGTCAACTCCTTCAGTGAAAACAAAGCTGACAGGCATGAAGAGCAGTCGGATGGGCAGGACAGGCAGTCTGGATTGAGAATCAGTCAGTTGACGGAGAATATTACAATGAACTTAAGCGATCCTACTTGTCAAAATAGAATACACGGCTCGCTGCAGAGCCATCACCAATGAACTTCTTCTGACTTTGGAAAAATGGCTTTCAACATTGTGAATTGCTCGCTGAGAATTATGTCACGATTTCAAAATACATCGTCATTTCGTAACGAGAAAGACAAATGCCAGAGAAAATATTGGACCAGATCTGTGCCTCGTTTGCTAAACTCTTTTCTCTCTTCGACATCCCAGTCATTCTAACCGCCTCAAGTGAAGGTATCTACTTCACTATCACCTCCATCAGGTACTTTCAACGCATTAACAATGGACATCTATTGATGTGGGCATTCTCTGTGTACAGCTGTTGAAGTCTTTCTTCCTACTTTCTACATCAGTGAAGATCCCAAATGTTTCGGTCCCTCCTCGTACCCCTTCCTCTATTTACTCTTCCCCCCGTCTTCCCTCCCTCCCTCCGTCATCCATCCCTCCCTCGTCCCGGTTTCGTAGCGCCTCGCTCGACAGAGAGAGGAGCATATGCGCCGCCTCGTCCGGCTCGACGGAGGGAGGGAGGGAAGGCGAAAGGGAGGAATTGAGGGGAGGGTTGGGTGCTGAGCCCGGTCCGGGGGCTGCGACCGAGTACCCGCTGCTCAGAGATTTGGGGAAGGAAGAAAGGAGGGTGGGGGATGGGTAGTTGGGAGGGGTTGCCGCGGAGGAGGTGGAGGAGGTGGAGGAGGAGGAGGAGAGGGGGAGAAGGGAAAGTTGATGGCCCTTTCCCTCGGTAGAAAGTCTCACTTTGAGAGAAATATCGCTCGAGGTGAAGACCCCGCTGGAGGAGGAGGAAGAAGGCGAGGAGGTACTGGTGGTATCCCGTGGATGCAGGGTGGGAGGAAAAGTGGGCGGAAGGGAAGGAGAATGGGGCAGGGAGGCGACTCCGCTTGGAGGCGGATGGGGGAAGGCCAGAGGCCGGAGGGGAAGGCAGCTCGGGACGGGAGGAGGCAGGGTGAGATGGCAAGAAGAGGAGGGGGAAGGAGGGGAGGAGGAGAAGGTCTGAAAAGAGGAGACGGACGAATGGTAGGAGAGCCCCGAGGCGGACGAGGGCGAGGAGGATACGATTTCTCTCCCCTCTCCCGCCAAGGACTCCCACTGCATGTCAGTCCGGCTCCCGTCTACTCCTCCCCCACACCGCCCGCCAGGGCCCTTCTCTCCTTCCTCGCTGCCTTCCCACCTCCGCTGGGGCGTGGGAAGTTTCTTGAGGGGGGGATGGCACGACGAGGACGAGGCAACGGAGGAGGGAGAAGGCATAGAGGGGTCGCCTCGGTGGGCTGGTGAGAGGGAGGGCAGGAGGGAGGTGGATTCAGGGGGTGGAAGCGGGGGCAGCAGGGAGGGAAACTCCCGCCTGATCCTCTCGTATTCCGTCACGTCCTCCACCACCGCCTGCTCCCCTCCGACAACCCGCCTGGAGTCCCGCGCCCCGACCCTCCCTCCCTCCCTCCCTTCCTCCCGCACCCCGACTGGGACGTCGTGGAAGCCGAGAGGGATCAGGCGCAGGATGAGGGTTTGCACCACATCCTCGCTGCTGTGCCAACCCAGGGTGGCCATGGCGCGGCCCCACCGTCCGTCCCGGGTAGTCACCCCCACGATCCGGTCGATAGAGCTCCGGCCCTGGTTGAACTTGTCCAGGACCAGGTCCGCGCTCCCCGCCAAGAGGGCTTCCACGTCCACTGGGTCCAAAAAATGGCTCCAAAACGCACAGCAGGCGAAGCCGGTCTGTCCGATGAGGCCACGAATTTCCTCCGTGGACATGAAGAGGGAGGACATCTGGGCAGGTGGTGGAGGAGGGGGGGAAGGGGAGGGGGGAAAGGGGAGAAGAAGGTGGAAGAGAGGGAAGAGGAGGGTGAAATGCGTGCAGCGATAGGAGTGGACGACATGCAAGTCATCCGGAGTTTTAGGGTGAGAGGGCGGGAGGGCGGGCGGGCGGAAGCACCTACCCTCGCATTACAGGTGACGTCGCTGACATGGTCGTTGCCCCGAAAAACCATGAGGCAGGCGGTCGTGTCCCGAGCGAGGCGGAGGAAGAGGGGTAGGCAGGCGGTGTCGGACTGTGTGGACATGAGGGCCTGGGCCGTGGGGGGGCCGTGGGGCACCCGCACGTGGACGGCGGAGAGGAGGGAGGAGGAGGAGGCGGCGGTCACGGAGGCCTTGATGGAGGAGACGAGGGAGGGGGAAAGGGAGGACATGTCGGGGTTGCTGACCAGGATGCTGCGGAGGGCTTGGTTGATCCCGTAGGCCGCGTCAATGCCATAAGGGTAGGAGAGGACCTCCACGCGCGCGGAGAAGTCGATGGCTTTCTTCAGGTCGAACCGGTTTTCGGCGCGGAGACGGAGCATTCCGTCGCAGAAGCCTGGTGGCGTGAGAGGAGAAATGAGGGAGGGAGGAGGGAAGGGGTCAGTGGCAGAGATGGGAGAACCTGCCATACCAAGCCGTGTTTCGCACGTCAGGGCTATCACTCCCACAGAATCTCGTGGCCGAGCTCAAGCGGGGTCTAAGAGGCATGGCTATGTACAGAGCCTAGGCAATGTCGTGGGGGGGAGGAAGATGCCCTGAGGGATCGACAAATACTTACCTCGCAAGGGGTAAATGGAAGTGTTGACTGTGGAAGGTTGCACAGGCAGCACCGCGAGTGCCTCGTTTCTTTCCCTGAGTGGATGCCCTCCCCGATAACCAGCCATGCTGCCCCTCTGAATGTCCGACGAGGGTGGTTGTGGTAGGTATGTGCCAGCATCTTGTTGCCCAGCTCCAGACCTCGGTCTTCTCCCTTTCGCGGCTCGCTTCGGCGATTTCGTGTCTGCAAATACTGCCATGGGAGCATTTCGTTGTCCAGCAACCCTTGCAGATGGTCGGTGGCTTGATAGAGATACGCAGCCGGTGGGATCGCCGATGCCCGGCTCGTCCGACGGGGGCAGGTAGAAGCGAAACTGGGTTGAGGGGCCCGGCGCGGTGTTATACGAGGAAGGGACAGAAGGAGGAGGAGGAGGACGTGGATGAATTGTGGAAGTGTGAGGGGTTGTGGCATCGTGGGTCCTCAATGACTGGGAGATGGGCGTCGGAACATGGGAGGGGTTGAGATGAGGGTGATGCCCCTGGCCTTGGCGGATAAAAGCCGCAGGCCTCACGGTATTCCCCGAGCCTGCCCCACTGGAGCCTAAAGACCCGCCCGAGAGTTGCTGCGACGAGAGCGAGGATGAAAGGGTGGCAATGACGTTGTTTGGAAGGCTTGTTGGCGGTGGTGGACGTCGCTTGGGTTCGCTTGCATTCCGCCGCTTGCTTGGTGGCCGCGGTTCGTCCTTCTGAGCGCCATGTGCTGGAAGCGCTGAAGGTGGAGCCGGTGGTGGTGCTGACGGCGGTTCTGCCACCATTTCCCCTACCTATCCGAGCATGCATGTGTAGTAGAGAGAGTAGAAGCATGTTTCAGGATTGATCGTCGAAATGCTTGGGTTTCACGGTACGTGCGCGGGACGCATCCGCACCAAAGAAATTACACCGATATGGATTCTCAAAATCTCGCCCCCTGAGCCCCTTTGACGCTCCCAAGCCTCCATGCCAAAATCCATCGTACGGACAAAAATCGACACGATGTAGAGTGTGCTAGGCATTACTGGGCGTATTACGCCATTATTTAGACCATGCAGTCAGGGGACCTCGGTCTTTGCCCACGGGCAACCAGTAGGAAGGGGGGGGACAAGCCTGGAGGGCCGCCCAAAAACTTGCTTGAACGCGGCCTGCCCGACCATAAGCACACCAGCCCGCAAAAAACAGCACAAATTTGTCATTATGCACAGAGTCACGTGCGGAGAATGGCCCAAGAGTTGGGTCTGGCTACGGCGTGGGGCTAGCGTATCAACAAGCCAAAGTTTAACACCCGAGTGGAGACTTACTTTACCTCGCCTTGAGGTTGCCAAAGTCGGTTTCTTCGTGACGGAAAAAAGGCTACATAGATCATTTGAGCCGGGCACAGGGTTATCAGCTCGGATATTTTCCACTCAGGCGTTGCCCGAGGGCCCGTCGACTGTCGTGCGGTCACAGTGGGGGGGACGGCCTTGTGCAAATTGGTGGGGAACCGCAAGTCAACGAGCTCGAGCTCCTCCCCTCGGAAAGGACGGAAGAAAAAATCCGGGTCAGGTATTAGAAGTTTAGAGGGTTCACGCCCGGTCTCATGGTGGACGTTGAAAATTATTAGTGGCCCCTCTTGACCTGGAGGCACCGCGTACGCTTTGATGTGACAGGTTTTTAATCCACATAACGTGTGGTTGCGGACAATCGGGTATTTTCTGATATATATACCGACCTGGCTTGCATGTACAGGGTGGACAAGAAGCACATGGAGGAGCGAGGAGGTGGCCTTCAGGATGGAGACCGCCAGGATTTTGTGGCCAAGGAAAAGGCATTAAGAGCAGCGCTTCTGCTTCAGAAACAAAAGAAAGAGGAATGTGAAATGTCAGCACAGCGAAGGGAAAAAGAGGGACCTGACATATCGGACAGGTCACGACTGGAGCGTCACGCGTTGGAAAAGCACCCCACCCCAGAGGACGCAGAGGCGATTGTAAGCCACGAAAAGGATGGGAAAGCTTTGCAATCGACACTGATGCAAAAGAAAGACAGAAAGGAGACATATTCCACGGACTTGGGCGAACAGAGAATGCAGGGAGAAGCCGATCAGGGGGAGGTGAAGGGAAACGTGCGGTTGCGTCCAGGAGGTGACAGGATGACGGAAAAAGAGGAGGAGAGCCAGAGGTCCGAAGACGGCGAATACGAAAGGAGCGTGAAAAGGGCTGTCAGAGTAAGTGGTGCGGAAGAAAGAGGACGCGGGCGATGGAGTGATGACGACGATGATGATGAGGAGGAGGCAGATCGCAGCATGAGGGGCGCACGAAGCCCGAGGGATGGAAAAAACGGGACAGGAAGGAGCGAGATGGATGCGGAAGATGAGCAAGCACCGGCAAGAGGGGCAGACGGCGGGTCTCGGCGTATGCCACAGACGTCCCCCCCTCCCTCCCCCGCGTCCTCCCCCTCTCCTTCGACCTCGCCCGGCGCGCAGGCCCGTCGATCCGGACAGCAGGCTTCTCCTAAGGTCTCACCGAAGCGAAAGTGCGCAGAACCAAGTGAGGGCCAGGAAGAGAATGGAAAAGGGGAAACGTCATTGGTGTCGGAGGGGGGCGGAAGGAAGAGAGGGCGATGGGATGACTCGAGTGAGGAGGAAGAGGGAGGGGAGGAGGAAGGCGGGGAGGAGGGGAGTGAGGACGTGGCGGCGGAAGGGAGGGAGGGGGAGGGAGTGCAAGCAAAACTGGCGACGGGTAGGGAGGAATTGAAGCGAGTGCTCGCCGACAAGAAGGGGGACAAGGCCGGGGGGGGGGCGGAGGCAGGGGGGGAGGAAAGGGAGGAAGGACCCGAGGGGGGAAGGACTCCGGGGGGGAAGGAGGGGGAGGAGGGAGGGAGGGAGGGAGGGAAGGAGAGGGAGGCGTCTCTGGAATCGGTGCCTGTGGACGCTTACAACCCGTTGCTGTTTGGGTGCAGGAGCGTGGAGCACTATGAGCGCGTAGGGATGATTGCCCAGGTGGGGAGGGAGGGAGGGAGGGGAGGGGGGGAGAGAGTGAGGGAGGGAGTGACTTTCCGATTGCCTCTGCACATGCGAATAAGTGATTCTTGGCCCTCGTCCATGCTCTTCGTCCTGGGTCTGGGCTACATCCAGGGCACCTACGGTGTCGTCTTCAAGGCCAAAAACAGCCGCACCAAGGAGATGGTCGCGCTCAAGCAGGTATGTAAGAATCCTGGGAGGAGGAGGCTCCCGAGCCCTCCCTTCCTCCTTTCTTGTTCC